GTCAAAATATGCACTTTCTAAGATCCATCTTCTGGTCGTTTTACTGTTGACGATCAAGAGTTTAACACGACAGGCTAATGTGGATAGTGATGCCAACCACGTGAACAGCTGGGCAGCAGCTAGCGTTATGGGTAGCTGGAGATGCTTGGGAGCACAGAGACCATCGAAGCTGTGCCCTGTCCCAAACACCCATGAAGATTGTGACATCATACATCCATTCAGAAGTTAACTCGGTGTTCGTCGGGGACATTCATAATTTGGTCTTGGAGTTGGAAGTAAGAATGTTCGATACTCTGCTACTACGTCTAACTGTTTAGCCCAGAGAAAAGCGAAGCGGCTGGTGGGCCATAGAAAAATCTTCAACAACCACTTAAGTAGTGGTGTACAGATATTATTTCGCTGCTCTTGAGAGAAATGCAGAAAGTTCATTACTTCAGTCCGTGTGTATCCGCTGGAATAATCAGTGATTCCTGTCTATGAGCAGGCATCATCATGCTGAACACTTGCGAGCAAAGGTAAATGTATATATATATATAGTCTGCTGGTAACCCTATATAGGTATTGTGTATATTATTTGAAATGTTGTTATAATTCCTCATCGAATTGTTACTTCCCTTTCTTCTCAGTTTGAAGGAAATGGTCAATGGCACAAATAAAGCATTTGATGCCGTACCATCTACGCTGCTCCCGCTGTTCCAGCCTTATATTGAACGGGTTCACAAAGCCCTTGCTCCTGGTTTGATCATGCTCAGTTGGTCATCAACCAATATTGATGACTGTAAGTGCAGTTGAAGTATGAAATGTGCATTAATTGGTTAGATTCACTATAATTCATGTGATTTTTCTGCTTGTTAAGTCATCGCGACGTCTGTCGACTAGCCCACACTAGTCATCAATAGACGACTTTGCCTAATATGTGTTACATATTTTTCCTGTTTGCTTTTTATATGGTGCGCGTTTCATCAGGCCTTCTCAGTTCGTTTCAACACTGAGCAGCAAACACCTCATATGTTTTTTAACCTAAAATTTTCGATTTCTCAACCCACAAGGTACCCTGGTTCGTCTTCAGTTTTTTAGTGGAAACAATCGGCGTTAGGTGTAATGCAGCATGAATGATGGCAACGTGTTATTATAATACAACTAACTCTGGTCGACGGTGGAAACTGATTTCTGGTTAAGAAGTTCAGAGACATGTATTCTTGTAAGACAGATAAATAAAAATTAGTCATTGGTTAAGCTGAAAACTAATTTGGTGTTAATGTGAGACATAAATGAATCTAGCTGAATCTCTCGTTCATGATATTCTTCAACTGAACGTGCTGCACAAGGGACACCTCATGTTTCAGTAAGTACAGCATTCAGGTTATGGTGGCATGCAATCTTGACGAAACTCACTACCCATAAGGTTGATGAAAACCATTTGACAGCCCACTACTGGTTTTGGTCTTCTTTTGGTTCACCAAACAGGCACAGTCCCTGAGTGTGCGCCATCATTATGTTCCACTTGTAGGAAAAACTTTACACAATTGCTGGAATAGACCCATCCGAAACTTACCTTGATGTTAACAGAAGACTCAACGGAATCGCAGCTGCATCTCTCATTCGTAACCTGGGTAGAATTGAGTGTTCAAGTAAAGCATACGATTAGCGGAAACTCGGGGACTTCCTCACCTAATGGGTCCAGAGAAGGGTGAAACCGACTATCGAATAGTTTTCAGCAATCTCATTGTTGGTTGATGAAAGCAGTCCGTTCTGTTTTTCGTGATCTTCCTAATGATCAGGAATTCAGCTTGTCCCGCTCCTATAGTATGACTACCGATGTTCGTTAAACGACACGAACTACACAATATCCGAAAGCCCACTCTCTTCCTATTTACGCTTCAAATATTTTCGGCCAGGCCACGATACAGGTGGCCTCTAGTTCGGGATAGGCAGCTTCATCGAGTTGTTACCGTTCGGGAGCACAGTCTATTACCTATTCGTCACAATGTATATAACCAAACTCTCAAAGTAAGAAAGTAAGGAATGACTTTGACACTTTGCGGTTTCCCTTTTTGGAAACCATATTTATAAGAAATCTCAGACTTATGGAGAGTCTGAAGGTAACGTATTGCTTTTCGCGCAATGTGAATCCTCTGCACCAAAAAACCCCCACACTGACCGAGCAGTCGCATCATGAATCCAAGTTACTAGAGCGACCTTACAGAAACTTTTACATGGGATTTTACTTCACCACTTATATCAAAAACAACTTTCTCTTCTGAAATGTTCGTAACGTGAACACAAAATTTCATCAGCATCCATTGCGTCTTCAGATGCAACAGCGTACCAAGAAAGACAGTACAAACGGGGCTGACTGTGACTATTTTCAATCAGAAAATATCATTCGGGATTTATCAAATTTATGGATCATTCGAAATAATACGACAGTAATTGGCTATCTTCACAAGAACTTCTATGCAATGAGACATCATGTAAATTGGTCGACAAAAATCCGCCGAGTTATGGATTCATTCCCACTGCATCACTGTAGTGACTAGTTTTTTGTGCCAAAATGCTGAAAATGCAATAGTCAAACTGAGGTTGACCGTACCCAATGGTAGTGAGGGCCTGCACCATCACTAAAGTACAGATGCATTTGACTAAGCGAGTTAAAACAGGTCCTAGTGAAAGGCAAAAGGCGTTCACTGCGGAGTTATTTACTAGAAAATGCCAACTGACCAGTTACAAACTATTGGACAGGGAAGCAAAACTGTCATATGCATCTTGTTTGAAAAACTGAATATTCATCTTCTCTTGAACGCGTCTTCATGAAATTTCCTGAATATTCATCGACGGTTGCTCAAGTCCAAGTAAATGCTACAAAGCAACTCCACAAATTCAGGAATAGATCTCATTTTCAAAAGATGCAAAGCGAATTTACAAAAAGAAACCATGCTACTCGCATGCCTTCTCATCAGTAGAACCACCGTTACACCAGCGGCTGTCCCTAATTCCTACAAACCAAGCAGCTAGGTAGATGAGATAATTGCGATGTTAAGCGATTCAAACGCCCCCTTGTGACTGCTGTCCTCTCAGCTTGACTGGGAGGACAAATAAAAGTCAGGAGTATGGTTTATATTCAGTACGCTACAGAATCTGCTTAAGCAGTATGGTTGATCATAATATACTAACTTGGTATCTACGAAGAGCACAAAGGGCATAAATGACCATTAGGTTCTACGGAGAGCGTAGACAAAGAGACATTGGACCACAATGGGACAAATACCATGAATATTGATAGTCAACTGCTGCAACTGAAAACAAGTACTCTTTCTTGGCCAATTTTGCGTCGGGATATTAGAGTCTCTGATTTTTGGCGCCAATAATTCACGTAAATCCAGTGATCAAGTTACAAACCTTTGGCAAATCTCGTCATACTGTCATAAGAAGGTAAAACTTTAAAGGAAGCAAAGAGATGTACTAGTAAAGTCTGTCTAAAGTGAAAGACCTAGAAGGAATGTATAGCAGTTTTATCTTTGTTGGAAAACCGCAGCATACAGATGTTTTCAGGAGACTACTACTTTGAATCGCAAACTCGATATGAAAGTCAAAAATTTCCCTATTGTTTGAGTTTCTGTCATACACATACCACTACACAGCTTGAGCATAGGGCAGATGAGGCATGGTCATAAGAAGTAAGTGTCGGGACCAAAATCATAATTGCACAGAATAGAGCGATATGTGCCAGTAGCTCGTCCGATCTCTTTCCAGAATTATATGAGATTAGAATGCATCTCGGAAGTTATGAAACACTCTGGATAAACTCTACTCTCCTAAAAACTGACAAAAAGTTGTAAGTACAAGTGGACGGGAACCTAATGTAGGCCTTCGTTATTGCACTCTATACCGCCTAGTTTCGTGTCATTGCTTCTACATTTTATGCATGCCCTTCACTCTCATTTGTACACAGACGTAAACAAGGTCAACGAGGAGCTGGCTGCGTTCCAACTACTAACCAAACGCTGCGTGGACATTCTGCAGTGTCGTATCGAGGGTGTGCTCAAGGCTATGAGGACGACAAACTTGTGCGAGTTAGTCACAGACGAGGCAATAACTTTAGATCAGTTCATTCAAAATGCCCGTACCACTACCAAGCTTGCCGGAGAATCGTTGGCAAGGTACGTTTGGCGTGATCGTGTTCTTTTCCTATGACCGATCGCCCGTATATATACTGCGGCTCCCAAAAAACGGATCCACACAGGAAGCCCTAAGATCATATCGTTTATTTATCAGCTACTAGACAAGTCTATCACTGTCAGCCGTAGTCGTTTACCCAGTATGGTTGAGCGTTCAAAAATACCGCGTAGGGTTTTTGTTGGGGCAGGATAAATGGTAGAACAAAGATCTACTTCATCAAATATCTAGGGCTCAGCTCATCCTTGTGGCTATGAATTCAAAGCTGGTCACATAAATGCTTGTTATTTGAGGCAAGAGGTCGACGTTTTGTCGCCCCCTTATTTTTCCACTTTAAAGTTTCCTCTTGTATACTAGATGTAGACATGCATACATATCGCGGCCACTCGAACTTCATCCAGATCGATCGAGTGGTTTTGTTGACTAGGTCTTAATAATCGTATTCCCTCCTGAGTCGAAACACTTGCAATTTCAGGCTACATTTCTAGGGTACCAAACGCCCATTGACATCACCCGAATCCACTACTAACGCGCTAGTCTGTTGTACTAATAACAGGCAAGTTAAATCAACACAAGATCGGTACTTTCGCTGACCTTGACCGCATCACGGCTAGCAACCCACTCGAAGACGAAAATATTTGCTCGATTCACTGAACAAGGCAATGAGTGAACGGACTTTTGAACAATTGTCTCCACCAAAAACAGTGGCACCGCAAGTGGAGTTGGAAGTTATACTTCCACGTTGAATAAGACTGTATGTTACAGATGTCACAAATGTACTGAAAAACAACTTTTTATTCATGGTAGGCTTACTGAAGCTGTTTTCCCGCTCAAATAATTAAATTCAGTGGAGGTTAGAGTCAGTTATCATCCTTTAACCTAAACTAACCGTATCAAACCATTTCTGGTTCAGAAATTATTTAGCACGTGAGTGAGTAACTAACTCCGCAGAAATATGGTAATCAGTTTGTCATACATACCCATCACATGGCAAAAAAGTGCCAATCATCTAGGGTAGGGTCAGTGAGTTATCCTTAGGTAATTAAGTGGCATACCTGCATAGAACTCAGGATTTGCCAAGAAACGTGACACGTCCTCTCTCATTAAACGGTTAACAGTTTTGTGTGACGCTCGAACCTTCTCGTGTCGGATAGTTCGCAACAAACACATAGCTGTTGACCGGGGCCACTGAGTAGGAAGTTATGAGACCTCATATTTTCCAGCAAGTAGTATGTACTACCCTTAAAAAGGAGTGTCTCTCAAGTTGGTGTAAATACGCATAGGCATAACCAGTGGCGGCAAGCTAGGACAAAACCAATAGGAATCAAATTACCGCAATATGGGGCTGCACACCTGACCGTTTTTCGTTTTTTTCTACAGACAAAGTAGTCTTGTGGAATGTGCGCTCAGTGATCTTGTCGAATTGCTCAAGGAAAATCTAACTACAGAACAAAGAACGAACCTGTCGGCGGAAGAAGGTTATGAATGTATTCCCAACGGGACGAGGAAGAGTCGGTGTCTCGAATGTCTGCCATGTGCTTACTTTACTTTTCTCAGTCACGTTACTCAGAAAAATACCGACGCCCTGATCCGTAGTAAGTTTTCTCCTAAGACCCAGGTACCCAGGTAGAAGGATTTTTGTTTTTTCTTTTGAGAACCTGTGAACAGATATGTACTAAGGGAGACTTTTGGCTGGACGGTCATTTGTGAATACAACAAACAAGTCAATGAACAATTGAGGCATTTTATTTGACTGTATGCAAGCATACTGCTATTCCTCCCATAATGGTTCATTTGGAAAGATGGTACCTCACATGACCCTAGTCATCATCATCATCATGATCGAGAGCATGACATCAGTGTGCAACACCGTTGCTTCACTGCCGTATTGACCCTGGTAAAAAGATGTACTGAATAAGCAAAAGAAGCGAACTCGCTTTTGTGAACAAATGATGAACATGTGGCTGGAAAAAGCAATTTTACTGTAGCGCATCGTGCACGCCTAATGACAGCGGTGACTCCATGTATGATATGACTTTAGGTGTATAGGACAGATTTCGTTCCATGTAATTTAGATGCTGTGCAGTGCAAACATTTTTGCACATGTTCGTTCAACCTACATGAGCTTCACGACACCTTTAAGACAATATATTCACCCCAGCGTGTTAGAAGGAAGGAGGGTATTAGCGACACAAACGTTCAAGCCAAAGTACATGGGGACGAGTGGTCAGTTTTCCTGCTGACTCTCAGGACAGTATGCAACAGGATCGAATACGCTTTTTCTTTTTTGACACAGATCCAAAGACCGACTCAAATGAACCGCCCACACTAATGAGGCGGAACAAGAGGAAAACAGTTACTTTCACAAAAGTAACTACTCACAAGTTTGCTGAAAACACTTCGACAGCCCACGACCGGTTCCGCCTTTTTCGGTGCTCATCAGGTAGACTCTGTCCCCCAGCTAACGTCAACCTACATGAACTCAAATTGGACAGATATCGACAGATACACTCATTTGCATATCAACTGGGTTTTCACAAAAGACGCTACTGAATTTCTCTTCCATGATAGTCTTCAAATGAATGTGCCGCACAAAGGCCACCTCATGAAACTATACTACGATATCTCGAATACCGCACCAACTGAAACATGAGGCGGCCTGTATGTAGCTAGCAAGTTGAAGAATATCATAAACGAGAGGTGCATTTGAGTCTCCCGTGTAAACCAGATTGATTATCAAGTGGGCGTGCCTGTCAAGGAAAATATTTGACTCCGTCATCCGTGGCCTCGGAACCGGTAAAATTCTGGATGTGGGATCTTAGAAAAAAGGCCTATAACCCAGTAACTAAACCGGAAAGATACTGGTGCCAGGGGAAACAGCAAGCATTGAAAAATGCGGTTAAGAATATATCAGAGCTACATTAATAGGCCGGGTTTAGGAAGCATGCTGGTCAGTGATTCCAGTTAACCTAAGAAGCTGGCGATTGATTGGAATATAGGTGAGCTGCTTAATTGTTGGTCTGCTCATCGGGCTTGGTTTTGGGATTGCAAACGTTTCACCCCCAATCAGGGTAACATCGTCAGTGCGGAATGAGTGGGTAAATCCGCCCTCTTCAGCCTGTGCTTATATAGCTTTTAAACAGTACCTAATAAATCTGAAGTAACCGGTTTATCCCGAGGTGGGTTTCGCTAAATTTGGTTGGTCAAATGGGAATAGGTTTCATGTTGTGGACACATTTCCTTATATCTGGTTGGTTCGTTAGGCGATTTCAGTTCCATGCCTCTATTCCTCCCCCTCGTTCTTGACGTCTCCTTCTTGCTTTGTGGTCTAGCTTCGTTCCGCTTGGTCAATTGATTGGACAACCTATTTTTTCAGTATTTTTCTTTCTTTAATCCGATTGGTCTGTTGATCGCTGTTAGGTTGTTTGGTTTTCCATGTGATTCACAGTCCCGCAACTGGTTGCATCATTTGTTTGTAGCATCCGGTAGACGGAGTCGATGTTGATGTTTTTTACTGATGTATGTATGGAATAATATGCTAAGTAAACTCCCGATCCTGTTTTATTCCCGCATTAACAAATATTTCAACTTTCTCCCAAATGAGCTAATGGCTGTCTTGGTTTTTGCGATTTGAAACACGCGATAGTCATGGTTACTAGTTGCTATATTGGTCAATAGTAGCTATCTGAGACAAAAACACTCACTGTCCTCGAAGCTATCACTTCTCCCTAGGTAGTCACAATTTATTCTCTTCGGTAACCCCCCAGGTGTCAGATCTACACTAGATGCTATCAGACTCCGGTTGCAACCAAAACAAACTTCATATCTACGTACAGCGGAGCCGGAGGTTTCCGTGCCTCTATTCAAAGTCGACCTGACCTTGACAATTCCAAATGTAACTATAAAGCCATCCATTGAGGAACTGCAAACCGGACTAAGCACGGTCACAAAAGGCATTCTTCGTGCCCCAGAGGCTGTTCAACCGTGGCAGCACATGTTGATGTGCCAAGAGCAACAACAGCGAGTAAGTTTCCGACAGCTGATTCTCCGCTTCATCCACACATTGTTGACTCCATTTGCTGTTCGTATATTGCTAATCTCATTTCCATCGTTTTCTTTTTCGATTGTTCAGGAGATGAAACGGTTATCTGAAAAAGCTTTGGAACAAAAGAAGCATACTCAATCCACCATAAAACCTCTGCATCGCATCATTGCCGAACACAAGGAGGTGCTAAAGCTGGTGGGGCAACTCAACGGCGTATTCAATGCCTGCAAGGAGGAAGTTAACCAGTTTATACAATCTCATTCGAAGTATTCAGAATTGTGGACTTCAGTAAGCCATGTTTCCTTAAATCTGGTTACCTCACATAATTCTAAACTTCCTTTCAACCTAGCTTCATTGTGGGCAAGGTAATGTATCAGACACTGATCAAGTTACCGGCAGATAGAGAAGTTCTTGCATTTACTCATTCATTTATGTTAATTAGTTCGTTAGTGATTTTTACTTTGTGGATGCTTAAGTATTTTCCTCACTTGATGAGCTAGGAGCTTTATTGTTCTCTTGAATAAGCGCGCAGAAATTTGGGCACTTTCGAGTTTGGGGGACTATGCTACCTCGATTAGACACACCTTCCATAATGGGAGTGATGTAATCTTCACAATGCTCGACAACATATGGTAGCTTATCGATATCAGTGATGTTCGTGTCATCAGGTTTCATCAAGGTCATCTGAGTGGTTGGATGCTCATGGAAGGCTGACATCGAGTACGAGCATTCTCCACTTTGATACCTTTTTCGCAACCAGAATTTCAAAAAATCACGACATTATGGAATTCGGACTTGATATCACTGACGATGTGCTCACGGTAATAGGAGAGCATCGACCTTGGGGACTGCCGAAAATAGCTGTAAGAAACTTAAACAAGCGCTACCGTGGACAATCTGCACAGAACATCATAGCACCCATCCGTAATCCCCGAGTCAGACACAGCAGAAGAGAATGAGGTTTGCTTGGGACGAGAGTTAGAGTTTGTGTACTAAACTAATCAGTTGGCTTAAAATGCGGCACCACGTTTTTATAGAAAAAAACCTTCGTGTAACGAATTCCTATCTGCAAGATTTGCTTGGCTAATCTATCATACGCTCACTTGTCAATGTTGCACGACTTGTGGAATTTGTGTCCACATAATACTAATTTACTGCTGTCCGAAAACCAGATTCATCTGAATTATCATCTCCTCTCTTTTAGCATCGAATAGGGTCGTTCGCTAGCGAATTCAAAGAAGTAGTGTACTCATGCCCTGCTTCGTTTCACTGGTCCAATTCGGATTGTCTGTATATTCCTGTCGCTGAGGTTGATTTTTAGCATGCATAGATAAGTGAAAAGTTTAATTATGACTTTGTAACGGACTTTGATAAGGTTATGACGCCATAACAATCAAATTTTCCTGGAATAAACAAGAACATCTCCGCCCTTCGGATCAGAGAGGTCGTGTGTTCATACTGATTTTGTTGGGCAACGGTAACAAAGCAACGCAGCAGCGAAACAGCCATCATGACTGTAAATTAAGTGCTACATAGTGGGTTATTTTAGAGACGAGATACTCGCTCTCCAAAATACAAAAAAGTGACTATTCTGGTACCGAAAACAACAGAATTATGCCGATGTGGGTAAGTTCTATTAATCATTGCCCACTGACCCATGAGCACAGAAAGTCGTTTTCTCAGAAACGGATTCAAACGGAGGAGTTGGTACAGACTGAAAAAACTCATCTACTTTGACCAGAAGGACATTTATGTAAAACAAACGAGTTTGATTCGTCTAGATCGATGTTATTTCTGATGACACGATAGTGAACTACGGAATAGTTTACCGACTTACCAAATTAAAATAAAGTCAAATTTTCTGAAAATACAATTTAACCAAGCGTGTAAATATTACTATGTCCTACTAATACAGTAGTAGGCTTCCGGAGCCTGGAAAAGGCTTCTCAAGATAACACGTCTTTTGCTATTTTACGTGGTTGAATCGCATCTGCCTGTAGTGTGTTGGTATTCTGTATGGGCCCACACCATGCCAAGTTGAGAGTATAGTCCACACAGAATGCATACATATTTCAATTCGTTTCCGTGTGTGTAATAAAAACTAAACCAGTTTCCCCTTACTTTACTTCAAGATCCACTGTCGGCTTTCGTCATTTAGAAAAATGGGAATGAACAAACTTTCCTCAACTTATACTTGGTGTTCAGCCGATAATATTTGTTGGCAAGTTCATGTTTATGCCAAAAAATCAGCTTTTCATCCATATTTCGCTGGTTGAAGCCCAGATTTTGCCAGCATCACCAAACTATACAAGCGTTTGGTGTCACTAGAATTTTCCTACTCTAAACGCAGCTTTCCCATAAGTTCATCATTTTTGGTTCCAGTAATAAAGAAAGCAGGTTAAACAACCGCAAGCCGTTTGGAATGGATCAGCAAAACTTGCTCAGTTTTTTCTATTGAATTGCCAGCAAAACTTGCTCAGTTTTTTCCATTGAATTGCAGGACCCGCAAATTAGAGTAGAAGAATTCATGAAGACCAACCCGAATTTATCGGATTTCGATACCCGACTGCACCACTACTTGGTAAGTTCGAGCCTATCTCAGTGAAATAATTGGCCACCAGAGTCCTAATCTCTGCTGGTTTCACACAGCAGTTGTGATCATTGCCACGTTCGTCGTACAAAACAAAATCCTGTCCCGAGTACCCAACTAGGTGCGCGGCTACAGTTGGAAGTAGGGTGCTGAATTTGCAAATGTGCGGTTACAGTAAAATCAGTAACTGTGCTATCCTGTTATATCTGGCTAAGCGCAGCTTCCTATGACCCGGTTTGTGTGCCGTTTGCTTCCAGACTCCTTGACACCTACTATCAGCACACAAATTAAAAGAAATTAAACCTAATTTACAATAACTCGTGTTGTGTACAGTGGGTAACGCAGAGAGAAAAGTCAGTCTATTGAAAATTTCGCCGAAATCATCTCTTTTAGAGTACTTGCATGAAGTTTAGGGATTTTAGTGGTATTGTGCATAAGACAGTGAACAATGGAGGACAACTGTACCACTCTCTGAATGGAATAGTGTGTCACCTGCGATCGAGTGACCCATCTTATTAAAAGTGGGATACGGTGCATCGATTCTATTGTACTAATAAGAAACAAATAAACACAATACTCAAGTTATTCTTGTTCGTCAAGTAAAAAATGTATCATGTAAGTTGTTCGCTAAACCACAACCCGTGATCACGGCCTACAACAAGCCGAGTGACAAAGTAGCGGCAAATACACTGTCACATAACAGCCAAACCATTAGGCTGTTTCGTTCGTTTGTTCCTTCGTTCACCTCTTAGTGACTGGTCCATGCGACGGAACAGGTCGCCCACCTAAGAGACCCCGTTGGTGAGCCGACTGATAATATGCTCAGAGAGTACATGCTAATGAGTGAAGTGGTGAAACAGGATACCAAGGTAATCACGTAAATTTTAGGTAGGAACAACATAAACTACGTAATTTTAAAAAATAATTACCGTAACACGGGCAAATAGTTGGTAAAATTCCACTAGGTGAACGGATGCAACAGAGTGGCCGCCTAGCCCAGGCCAAGCCCAGAACTAACCAATACAAGGGCAGAAAGGCCAGTCGTGCTGCTGCTTCAGTGATTGGATTATGACGTGTAATACAATCGTTTGGATAAGTTTAACCCTTTTCCTTTCGAGTGTGCTGGACGCAAGACATGCGAACGGGAGCAGGGAAACCATCGGGAGCAATAACCAAGACGCGCACCCACATTATATAAATACGGCTGAACAGTGTTGATTCTGAATTAAATATGTTTACCAGGCTACCATCCTAGACAGAGCAAAACAAGAAAGTACGTGTTGGCTGAGTTAAGTGATGGTACCAAAAGCAGACCATTCAACTGTTGGACTGATATATTTTTGGTCTGTACACCACAGCAACAACAAGAGTGTGCCCATATCTGTGTATAGTGTTCAAGTGGTCTGGACAAATGACATGCTTAGGCTCAATCTCATTGCTCGATTAGTGCGATTGCCGTTGGTAGCGGTAGTACTGTGGATCAGATACCACACTACCAGACCATCTTCCAATAAGGCGGTCAGGACAACGAGTAGGCGGTTGATTAAATTCGCTCGTCTAACTCTGAAACAGAGGCACATAACAAAAAGGGCTTTTTGATAGAAACGTGATGGTATTCGTACGCGATTTAATCAGACACAAACTGAGGAAGTGCATACTCAAATCCGTATGAATACAGAATTTAAGACAGTCGGTACATAATACGGTGTGAATCTTTTGATTTCTGCGTCACAGTTGACCCTAAAATTAGATCGAGTGGAAAACCGAATAAATTTGGAAAAAGATGACGGTTTGTACGGGATGACACCATTTTGAGTGCTGCTGTCAATGCTCTTGTTACTACACGTCATTCAGCGGGTAGCACTATGAAACCGTTTCCGCCTTATTGGAACTTATTAACGGTTCGATATCATGAAACCCCATGGAGTATCAAGCCTGCTGCTTCCGGCTGGTGGTTTCAACACACTACAGTTTGGCCAGGAGCGGCTGATCAGCAGTGTGATTAACTCGCACTTAGAACATAACGCCACTCATCGTTCAGTTATGTGATCTACATTACGTGGTCACAAGTGGTGACTGAGTTCCTGTCAAACCAGTTCCCAGACGAGTCTTATCCATCAGATGAATTTTCATTCGTCCTCTGAGTTACTTATGGATTGTTGGTAGTATAAAAAGATTTGAAAATTTTTTAAATGGAGATTTCATCTCGAGGTGAAGCCAATCCTAATATCTGATGCGAACTTCATGTGGTAAGTCGTTCCATGAGCTGTGTTAGTACCGACGAAAATTTTGGTGCTGCCGATGTCTTTCGAAATGCGCACATTTTCCAACCAAGACCACATCCCCCCAAGAAGACCACGGGCTACCCACCAGTAAAAAAAAACCTATCCCTGGACAGGAATCGATGTTCTGCTATCACCACGGTTTGCGCATTAAACTAATTGTGCACTCGTATGAATGATGGACTTGTATGCAGTACCTTTAACTAATTCGATGCCCAGGCATGTTGTATTGGTTGGATGATGCAGAGGAGTAGCCCCACATTTGCCAACTTCCATACCACAAGAGAAACGAGAACAAAGACCGTTGTCTTCTCCGAAATAGAGCGAAAAGGGCTGACTGAACTCCAGTTCATTAATGCGAAACTATGGACTTTTATTAGACTGCAAACAGTATTGCGTGTCATTCTTTGCTTACATTGATGGATGTTCCGACATATTCTCTTCTGACTGGTCCACTGTCTGATTGACCCGGCAGCACTTGGGGTTGGTCGACCGGCACAGTACTGAACAAAACAGAAAGTGGGGATAATCCAAACCCTAGTGCGTTTTTGGCGAGAGCTCAGTTAATTGGCCGGAGAACGGTTTCTATTGATCGATAGTGTTGTCACTTTGTAGATTGTCGGCCTTAACTTTGATGCACTCCACAAGCACACACACTTAAAACACTCGGAAATGCAAAACAAAGTCTCCTTTTTTAGTAGCGGGAAGAGATTTGGGGGTTTTTTAATTGAGGTTTTGTCCTGTCGGTGAAGTCAATCCATGTTTAAAAAGCATTGTACGGCTGTTTTATCCTTATCGGAAATCATCAACAAAACTCATCTCTAAAAACGTCACAACGTCTGGAGACCACCACCTCGGGACCAGTAGTTTGAACACCGTCCTGCCATGAGCGGCTGATTAGTGAAGTGAACTAGATAAGGTTCCGTAACTAGGGTTGATAAGTCACTCATAACGCTGTTTGGTCTTTGGAAAAAAGGAAGCTTATACGCAAACTGTGAGTGGGAGCCAGCATTATTCTATAATGGCTAAAAATCATGCAGTTAAATAGTGCGAAAATTCGTTTAATTAATTTGGCTACTTAGGGGAGTGTTTTATGACTATGGACTTCCAAACTGAAGCAACATGGCTTGAAATGTATCACTTAAATGCTGACCTATGTTTTCATAAATGTGTGCCTTTAGTTCAGAATGATATGTACACTGGGTTACCCTCTTTTTACAAAGAATGTGAAATGCGATTTTTTTTCGGAAGACGCATTCTATCGAATCGGACGATAAACATAGTTGTGTTTTATTTATTTTATCTGCAGCGCCTGGAGCAATCGATCAAATCCATACCGTCCGCTCGACCGGTTGAAGCATTACTGATTCAAACAGACGAGTTTAAAAGCGGTCTCATTCGTGAATGTCAGCTCTGGCGGCGCTGTTACGGGTCCGCGCTTAATCAGCGATGTGCCGCGCAAATGAGCAAGACCTTGGAACTGTTCGACAACCTGTCAAAACGGTTGAGCCGTCCAGTAAACGATCTAGATGATGTGCGTGAACAAATGGCTGTTTTATCGGAATTACGGGAAGCAGAAGTGCAAATAGACATGACAATCAGCCCGATTGAAGAATCATATGCGCTACTGAGCCGTTACGATATTTACTTCAACGATGGTAATGCAGAGCGTGTGGATAGCTTGTCTTATGGATACTCCAAACTTCGACAGCAGAGTCGAGAAGTGCAGGACATACTTCTGCAGGTTCAACCCAAATTTGAATTGGAATTGATCGAGGGTGTCAAACTGTTCAAAGAAAATCTCGATAACTTCGTAATGGACTATGATACCAAGTATGGTTTCACGTCTGTCAATGAGGCGTGTCTTTTTTTCCTTTCATTTGCACGACAGAAGGGATGAGAACGTAATGTTTATGCCATGTTTTCCCACTAGATTTGATCCGCCAGAGAGTAGCCGACCAACACCATCAAGTTCTCCGTCGCTGAATGAATGATAACTCGTTGTCAGTGACCAGTTTTATGGTGCTACCTACTTAATGTAAAACAAAGGATATGGAGCTACTAGCCCCCCTCCTCCTCCCCCCGAAATGATCACTGCATCAGACATGAGTGCAGTTGGTCGCAGTTACTTCATTTTGGTCAACTAGGTCTGATATAAAGGGCAGATAAAATAGATAAATTAGTTTCGGATACTGCCGAATGCTGAGGTAATCAACTGTGAACAGACTGATTTTTGACAAGATAGTTCGCCTTTAGAGAGGATTTATTGCATGAGAGAGCGATTTCAGTCTACTCCATGGATTTTCCGATACCACATATACTACCGCTAATCCAATGCCGGGAACGCTTGATGTAGCTGGATTTAGTACATAGATTCTACAAGGAAAACTCCCACTTCGTTGAGAAATTTGAATATCCTCTGGATAGTTCCTTGCTAAGAGTGTACTTTATCCTCAACGATGTTAGCTCAACCAACAATTAGTATTCCAAGAGGGATGCATTTCTAGACCGAATAGAATTCACTGGCTTGTGTGGCGTGACCGACCGCAGGATCAGTCCTTACAGACATCTGTCGCTGTATCAGGGTTTGAACACTAGGTTTCGTGTTTTAACCGGTATACGTAGCACAAATTTACCGCACCCTTCTTAAATCATTTAGGACAACATGTCTGCATAACTGGCAAAGGCTACGTCCCAAAATTCTCAATCTGTGTTTCATTTCCTATCATTCCAGAGGTCCAATGGAACCAGGAATAGCTCCTCGGGAAGCATCTGATCGTATGAGCCTGTTTCAAGCTAACTTTGATGAACTGTATAACAAGTACGTAACCTATTCAGGTGGCGAGGAGCTATTTGGTATGCCGATCACGGAATATCCAGGACTACATCGTATACGACGTGAACTGAGTCTACTACAAAAATTGTACCAGTTGTACAACACCGTTTTGGACACCGTCTCTGGATATTACGATTTGCCGTGGGCCGATGTCAATATAGAATCCATTAATCAGCAGCTGCTGGAATTTCAGAATAAGTGAGTGGTTGTATTTTGGCCCTTTATCCACTTAATTGTTATGTGGGGCGGAGTGATGATGTCAACCGTTTGATGTATATGGCAAGTTGGGTGGCTATCGAGGTGAATCCCGATCAATTGCAAAGTCTACGAACAGGCGAAATTCGCATATGACCAGATGGGGCGACATCCAAACTCGTAGGAACCAGTCTATCAAGGACTGGGAAAGAGCAAACCACAAGGTGGAGTTCAATTTTGTAAAAACTATACTGTCAGAAATAGAAAATGCCACAGACAAATGACTTCATCAGGTTCTTGGATAGATTCATACACAGTAGTCCGACCATCGATGCCGCCTCCTCCATCCCCGAGACCCTGGCCAAAACGTGTGGTCCGCTTGTTTTTTGTAGCAAGTGAATTCTCCCTTATACTTGTAAAGGAGAAATTGTTATCTACGTTTGTCCCCGGTGGTACGCAGGTCAATCGTAGTCTCTGTTATCTAACCATTTTGAAGCCTGTTAGCCATAAAAGAAACCAAGCCTCCTCCACCGTTTTTCCCCATTTTATATCCACCCAGATGCCGAAAATTACCCAAGGCATTGAAAGAGTGGAAGGCATTCGAAGAGTTGAGCAAGACTATTGATGACTTCAATTTAACCTGTCCGCTGCTGGAAATGATGACAAACAAAGCCATGGGGCCGTCCCACTGGAAGCGAATCGAGGATCTGACCGGGCACAAATTTAATGTGCAATCAGATAGCTGTTTGTTGCGCAATATCATGGAAGCCCCCTTGCTGCAGTTCAAGGAAGATATAGAAGTAAGCTTGCATGGAGTGTGGTGGGTGTTTCGTTTTTAGGGCATAAAATGATGATGGTGGTGGTGGTTTAGGCCAATATCACGTGCACCGTCTAAGTTGTTTCCATCGGGTAAACCTTATTTGTAACATTGTAAACACTGTGCGAAAGTAGCTAGCCGCATGTAGCTGTGTTTTTCTTGTTTCGCGAACGGAAATTCCTAGAAACTTCCACAAATTTTAATGGATTTCTTTAGCACCACTTATTCAATCTGACTCTGTCTTTTTCCCAATCATCCCGCCCCTGTCAACCTTCATTCATCAGAGTTTAGCAGTGTGTCTTTCAGGACATATTGTTTGAAAGAGTGAATAGAAGTCCAGGATGACTACAGGCGACCACCTAAAACACGTAAAAAGTAGAACTGGGTTCTCTTGTAAAATGTGACTGACAGCGAAACACTAAGGAAAGAAGTTAGTGCATGCGATTCTGTACCAATCGTTTAGGTTGTTGGTGGTATATCTTTAACGAAATTTCTGGTTGGTTTTATCGTGACCTCACCGAACAAGTAGTATGCTTTGAACCCTCGGGAACTACGTCGGTTTTGGGGTGTTGCAGCTCCAACCCAAGCAGTGTGCATCTGGTTGTCCTGTACCACAAATTAGGGACGGATTTTTAACCAGTTTATTTTTGCTGTCGTTCATCATCACAGTAGGAAGAGTCCTTAAACTCGCAACCGAGTTATGTATTGACGTAGCAATGCGGGGGGCTTCCCTTCCACCATTGGTAGGTTTACCCTGCAAAAATTACTTTTTCCGTGTAAGATTTGGGCCGTTTCTTTCAGTTGGTAAGAAAGCCCGAAGCAGTTTCCGTATTTTCCATAACAGGCCTTTTTGGTGGATATTCAAACTGTCTTTCGTTCAGCTGGACTATAAGCAGCAATCAGCTGATTTTTTTGTGAGACCACTGACAGATAAGTCAACATCAGGGAGGATAACATTTTGACGAGTCGCAAAAATTCTGCCATATGTGCACATCAAACTGACCTTAGTCTAGGGTGTCGTTCATCAAGTCACCAAGTGGTGCCTTTTAACTTGGCTGCAATGTGAAAACGCTTCTCTCCATATTTTTCTCGCCCCAATAAACCACAGAAAGACAGCATGAAGGGTGCCTGTATTTGAAGAAACCACTTGACCATGAGAAAGCTTGTGATTTGCAGACTTCGTGCACACCTGATCTTACTGATCATTTGAAATAAGAATTCTGACAAACTTGCCTCTGTCTATTTTGTTGCGCTGGCCATTGTGACATCTCCATGTGTCAATTGGTTATTTGTTAAGCAATTTTTCTGATAACTTGAATTTATGCGAGGGCTCTGGTTTCTTCATCTAACAGCAGAAAATGTCCCAATCAAGTTTTTAATTCATTTTAAAAACTGATTAAGGAGTTGCCCAACGTTTTCCAAGTTTTCTTTGCTGATCGTTCTTTAATTGACGAGGCATGAACAGAAGGACTAGGTAATTTGTTTGCTGGAGCGTACGCATGCAGATTTGCATTTGAGCACTCACCGATTCGGTCAGCATCTCTGAAGCTGGCTGTCATCTTGAGGTCAGGGAGGGATAAATCATAGAACGCGGGTACTGTTGGCACTGATCAATTTGCAACCGAGACAAGTATTTTCCGGGTGGAAGGTAAACTGAAGCTAAGACTGATAGACGTTTCTGATACCAGGTCTTCGGTGCTTGTTAAGAAAAGTCTTGAAATTACGACACGTTCGCTACTCTACAGAGCGTCCCTCACCCCTGAAATGATTAGAGAATGACTATCTTCAATGAAGGGTTTGCTGAGGGAGAAATATTTCAACTTTGTGCAAACAGTCAGAGAAGTATTGGATTAATGCTCATGCGTTGGACACTGGTGGAATAGGTGTATGTTTCAACTTTTGCAAACAGTCAGAGAAGTATTGGATTAATGCTCATGCGTTGGACACTGGTGGAATAGGTGTACGAAGAACCGTTAGGTCCCACGGTGAAAGCGAACAGACTTCAGCTCTTTATCTTGACCTTGTTCAAAGTTGCTGTTTTATGCGCTGTCTTGTCTTCACTTTCTTTAGGATATCTGCATTGCCGCAGTAAAGGAGAGGGATATAGAAGCAAAACTAAAGGCTGTGATAAACGACTGGGCTGCCCAAAATCTGCACTTCTCATCATTCAAAACACGTGGTGAACTGCTTTTGAAAGGTGACTCTACTACCGAAGTTATCTCACTAATGGAAGATTCGCTCATGGTTCTTGGTTCACTCCTGTCCAATCGGTACAACGCTCCGTACAAAACTAAAATACAAGAATGGGTTCAGAAGTTGACGTTAACCTCAGAAGTTTTAGAAAACTGGATGATCGTGCAAAACCTGTGGGTTTATCTGGAAGCTGTGTTTGTGAGTGGAGATATTGCAAGGCAACTTCCTCAGGTGAGTTGTTCTTACTTTCAGATGTGAAAAAAGAATGCGATAATACTGTTTGCCTGGTCTTCTTCTGCACTTCAGAGTTAAGTTAATAAGACAGCGACCAAACACAGTTTGCATAGTTGCTCGGATATAACTGCTCAATGCTTTTTTTGATATGACGCTCATTAAGAGGTTAATGAAAACTACTGGACAGACTTTTTTCAACGCCTTCAGCTGACGACTATCACCAGAGAGAGGTTCAATTGAATCTACCATTGATTCAAATAATTGTTCAACTACTTCAGACCTTCTCTACATGACACACTACTGATAAGTTTTCTGAGAACTCCTTGGCACTCCAGGACCGGTTTTGCCCTTCTTGGGTCTCACCCGGCAGGAACAGTCTCGGGGATTTCTCGTGTTCTATTTGGACCCACACTGTGCACGCCTATCGACCTTATCCCGTGGTCAAACTGGAAACAGACCTCGATAAGATTAAGCATTTTTAGTCCAGCTGAGGTTAACTAAGTAACTTAAAAGACGGCAGTGTATAATGCTTAAATGCTTCTCCAAGTAGCAGCAAAGTTCACAACCTCAGTAAAATGACCGAACGCATTATTTTGAGATGACGAGCAGTTCACCAGAACAGCGCTATCTCGTCGCTTCCCCGGTCTATGAAGGACTATTGTGAAGCACCCATATTCCTTGTGACTCCCACATAGTGTTGGCTTGAGGATTTCGGTCCCTAAAACAGTCATAAGTATACGGATATAGTGCCAGTCATGTTTCTCACCGATAAATGTTTATAGGACTACTAGGTGATATACTAACATGGTTTGGCTGTTGCAATGGATACCAGTGAAAAGTGCTGGTAGTTGTTTGCCCAAGCTGTTGCATTATTCATTACGTCTAAATGTCTTCTTCAGAGGCTACTATAAGACAAAAAGTTGACTGTCTGGTGAAAACGAAACAACAATGCCAGCGGCATTTTATCTGAGTATGAAGTACTCCGTGGTCTGTTACCAGGATGTATTGTGCGCAAATGCCATTTGACCGTGAAATGAATTTCGACATCCGCGTCTGTCGTGCTAAATTTTCATATCAAAAGATTCCCTTCCTTTTGCTGGTCCGTTGCAATTTCCTGCCTGCCTGCCTGCCTGCCTGCCTGCCTGCCTGCCTGCCTGCCTGCCTGCCTGCCTGCCTGCCTGCCTGCCTGCCTGCCTGCCTGCCTGCCTGCCTGCCTGCCTGCCTGCCTGCCTGCCTGCCTGCCTGCCTGCCTGCCTGCCTGCCTGCCTGCCTGCCTGCCTGCCTGCCTGCCTGCCTGCCTGCCTGCCTGCCTGCCTGCCTGCCTGCCTGCCTGCCTGCCTGCCTGCCTGCCTGCCTGCCTGCCTGCCTGCCTGCCTGCCTGCCTGCCTGCCTGCCTGCCTGCCTGCCTGCCTGCCTGCCTGCCTGCCTGCCTGCCTGCCTGCCTGCCTGCCTGCCTGCCTGCCTGCCTGCCTGCCTGCCTGCCTGCCTGCCTGCCTGCCTGCCTGCCTGCCTGCCTGCCTGCCTGCCTGCCTGCCTGCCTGCCTGCCTGCCTGCCTGCCTGCCTGCCTGCCTGCCTGCCTGCCTGCCTGCCTGCCTGCCTGCCTGCCTGCCTGCCTGCCTGCCTGCCTGCCTGCCTGCCTGCCTGCCTGCCTGCCTGCCTGCCTGCCTGCCTGCCTGCCTGCCTGCCTGCCTGCCTGCCTGCCTGCCTGCCTGCCTGCCTGCCTGCCTGCCTGCCTGCCTGCCTGAGTAACTGCTTCAATGAATAACGAGCTGGATGGCTGGATGTGCTGGATGGGCCATTTTCCCATAATTTACTCTCTGAAGTTGTCTGACTTGCTCTTACTCGAAAGTGCTGGACTCCAGGCATATTCCATTTCCTTTGCATGTAGGCAACCCCCTGCCACATCTTGATGCCCTCGTGAGCCAGAGCACTGCGTTTTGAGTATTTTGAGGGAGGAAATCTCTGGAACCGCCCACCTGATATCGCGAATTTCTTTGGTCAGAGTAGCCTAAAGTCCTTACTTTCAGAAGTACAAATGATCCTTCAGGGGAGTCACCTCCATAATAATATTCACCGATGTTTACCTTATTTCTCTTTACTTTCACAGGAAGCCAAACGTTTTAGTAACATTGATAAAAGTTGGCAGCGCATCATGCAAAGAGCTCACGAGATTCCCAATGTTATCAGCTGCTGCGCTGGTGACGACATCATGGGGCAGATGCTTCCTCATTTGCTGGAACAGCTGGAATTGTGTCAAAAATCACTCACCGGCTATCTGGAAAAGAAGCGCTTAGTTTTCCCCCGATTCTTTTTCGTTTCTGATCCGGCTCTTTTGGAAATCCTTGGTCAAGCCTCTGATTCGCACACGATCCAGGCTCACTTGCTTGCCATTTTCGACAATACTAAGACAGTGACGTTCGATGAGAAAGTTTACGACAAGATACTGGCAGTGAATTCACAAGAGGGCGAAACGATCCAACTGGATCCACCAGTTATGGCACAGGTATGAAACTTTTAATGGCTCATCTGCAACACTGGCCAATTTGCTTTCTTTACACGGTACTTGAAATTAACCATCTTTGCCATTTGCCTTACATTAACAGGTACCATTCAGTCCATAAAGGATGACCCACAGGCTGACTGAGGCCAGTTGCTCACTATCCTCTTTGTCCATTTTAGGGTCATGTTGAAGTGTGGCTTGGGGATTTGCTGCGTGTATCTCGCCAGTCACTGCAAGCAGTCATTCGTGATGCATATTTCGCTCTTAACGAAACTCCGTTCGATCTACTTGAATTTGAGCGAACCTTCCCTGCTCAGGTGGGACTGCTGGGTATCCAGCTGCTGTGGACACGAGATGCGCAGCTAGCGTTGCAACAAGCTAAATATGATAGGAAGCTTATGCAGACGACCAATGCGTCGTTCTTGAGCTTACTGAATCAGCTGATCAGTGTTACCACGCAAGATCTATCGAAAATAGACCGAGTCAAATTTGAAACTCTGGTCACAATTCACGTACATCAGCGGGACATTTTTGACTCTTTGGTAAGTTGTTCGCTCGTTGATTAATAGTTCTCGGTAAACAAATTTTGTAACAACTATGTAGTCCTGTACTTTTGCTTAGAAAGTGGTTTGATTTTATCGCAATCACTGTTTTACAACCATTCATAGTCAGTTAGAATTTGTAACAAACATTGTCCTATGATACACGCACGTAACTAAGTGCTCCGAATGTATGGAAGTTGGAGAAAAAATTCTTAAGCATGGCGCAGTCAACAATAGGAGGAAATTATAGGCTTCATTCCGTGTTTGGCCAGAAAAGCGCACACTACATTCCTAGTTTACTTTAATTTTGGAGCGGCTTTTTAGGGGGGCACCGGTCTTTTCAAGCGGGAATTTGCAAATGAAGAGGGTCCTTATTGGTGACAGACATTCATACTGGAAGGTCCTTGTAGGGAGAGCTGCACTTTGGAGTAGGTACCATAGAATAGGATCACAAAAATCCAACCGAACAGCGCACATGATCTGAAGAATACCGTGATTAGTTGAGTAAAGTGCAGAGGAGACGAGCATCTTGCACGGACTGTCAAATTTCGACGGGATTGTTAGCAAATGTCACCTATGCCCATGACCGATAGGAAATTCGTAGACCAGAGCGCTTGGCATCAAACTATTCATCTGTCTCCTTTAACACAATGTTTTCCTTCGTTAGACGTTAGTGCTAGTTCACTAGCGCTGTGAGTTCAGCAAACCGGTCCACTTAACCATCTATTCTCATAAGGCTTTTGTGTCCAAGGCCAAACGCCCCCAAGCAATACATTCACCCATTTTTTACCAGATTATTATGCAATGGTAAAAGTAGGTCAACATATACGACAAAACAGAAAAGAGGTAACTGAAAGATTGAAGCTTGGTGGACCAGAACCGCCGATAAACACGGGTATCAAATGCGGCGCTATCCACTGAAATGTGTTAAACTCGATGCACTATTTCATAGAAACGTGTTTTGAGTAGAAAGACGCTCATACCGGGTGGGCAGAGTGCCGCTGTATTTGTTTTTTCCCATCTTCAGGTCAAGATGAATATCAAATCACCGAAGGATTTTGAATGGCTCAAACAATCACGCTTCTACTTCATTGAAGACAGCGAACAATGTTTGGTCAGTATCACGGATGTGAACTTCATCTACCAGAATGAATTCCTCGGTTGCACCGATCGACTTGTGATCACCCCGCTAACCGACAGGTTAGTGTGTACTCTTTTTCTTGAACTTATGGCATTCTTTTCATCCCAGTTTTTTCTTGTAAAATGTGAACAACTTTGCTACGAAAATGACACCTTAGAAGGTGAGGTGGGCTTTAGGGCCCTTTCAGGTAACATCAACTTCTGAGCTAGAACCTATGCCAATCTGGACGTGAAGTGATGGCTGTCAAAAGTGCAGTTCTAACCAATCAGAATGTGGTGGAATGGACGCCAAAGTTGATTGCTTAGACGTAAAGCGAAATAGAGAAATGTTTCACTTTCGAGGTAGTGAAATTGCACAGTATTCTTGTAGTGCTACTGATTAGGCCATCAAACGGACTGATTTGCTTCAGATATTCCATAAAAAGCAGCAGCTAAATTGTGCCAGATCATTCAGTTGTTCCTTCACACACATTAGGATGTTATCACCTTCAATGGTTTC